CACTCCTTTCTGTGTTTGACCCTTCCCTTCAAACATAACTCCATACTGACGCCAGTAGTATTGGATATGGGGCTGTTGTAATGTAAAAATACGATAATAAAATGCATGTGGTAGCTTATTACAGTCGTCGAACCACTGACGACGAAATAAATTATTACTCCTATAAATTGGAAACATTGGCGATATTTCAAGCGCTCAACCACTTTTGGAGCTACCTATTGGGCATTAAGTTTACCCTTGTCACAGATTGCAATGCAGTAAAATCCACCGCTACGAAGAAAGACCTTACTCCCCAGGTCGCTCTAAGGTGGACTTACATGCAAGATTTTAACTTTGAAATAACATACCGTAAAGGGAGTTTACTACCACAGGTAGATTTTTTAAGCCGCAACCCTATACCTGTCAGAAGAATCACTCATAAAAACTGGTTAAACATCGAACAAAAGGGTAATAAAGATGTTCAGAATATGTTGACTCAGCTAAAGGAGGATAAATTTGATGCAATCCAAATCGCCGAAAAAGGTGTTTTTTTCAAAAAGCAATATAAAACTGTTGGAAGTACAAACATGTTGTGGTTTGTACAACTCCAGAGTCGATTGGGTCTATTAAGAATCTTCCACAACGAGCAGTGTCACATAGGTTGTGATAAAACGGTGGCATCCATTTTACAACACTTTTGGTTTCCGCGAATGAGACAATTTATTAAAAGTTACATTCAGCATTGTTTAATTTGTGCCGTCAAGAAAACTTGAACTGGTCCCTTACAATGATTTATTTATCCTATGGAAAAACCTTCTCAGCCCTTTCATACTCTACATGCAGACTGTCTTTGTCTCCTTCCTGCTACATCTGAAGGGATTAAACATATTCTAGTCTTAGTGGATGCTTTCACTAAATACTGCTTACTTCTGCCATTGCGTTCAGTTACTGCTGATGAAACTAGACAACAGTTTCAGTCTGTTATCTCCCTATCCGGCACTCCTCAGAGATTAATAATGGATGCCGGTACAAATTTCAAAACGCATCATTTCCCAAATTACAAATTGAATACCATGATGTACACAGAGGTAACGGGCAAGTTGAGAGATACATGCGAACTAATTAGAATACAGACTACCTTGAAGTCAGAATGGTCGAGTCACATTTGGAAAATCCAGTTGGTACTGAATACTACTATCCTAAAATCCACTCAGATGACACCCTTGCATTTGCTGTTCTACCCCTTTAATTAATTCCTTAGTGAAAGATCTTTCTCAAGACCCCAATACGCAATCGTGACTTAGATCGACAGAAGGCTGTAGAACTTTTTAAAAGTAAAACAAGTAATACAACCCTCAATGAAAGACGACGTAACAATGTACAATTCGACGAAGGCGATTTTGTAATAATGCATCGTGATTTAAAGATGCATGTGAGTAAAACAAGTTATGAATTTTTGGGTCCTTACAAATCATAAGATGTCTTGTTATGAGCTCAAAAAGGTTGGTTCCAATATTGTGACGAAAACTGCCAAAGAACAATTAAGGTGTTGGCCTACTGAATGGTCAGTCGACTGCGACATGGAATATCTGAAGGTTTTAGAATCTGAGATGCCTATCGAGTCAAAACCGGAAGGTGAGTGTTCACTTGATTTTTGTTTGTTACTATTTTACTCATGACCGTGTTAGCGTGCACAATTTTTTTGCAAAAGGCAAGAGAGATTTTAAATTAGTGATCTGGGTTTGCACAGTAGGTCCCCAGGATTAATAATTAGAATTAGTAATTTGGGTTTGTCCCCAAGAGATTTTAAATTATTGATTCGGATCTCTCAACATATCCCCAGTTATTCGCAATAACACGAAGTAACGATGCGTTTAGGTAGTTTAATAATAATAATGTTGATAATAATTGTAATTAAAAAGAAAAACCTAATTATTCTGATATATAGACTTGTGTATCTCAGTTACAGTTGTAGATCCGAAGCCTGGTTGCAGCAGGAGCTTCGAGAGCGAAGTCCCAGTCAGGAGAAGCCGTGTTAGCAACAAAAATATGAAGTATGGCCCTTGCCGTTTCTGCCGGCTTAAGACGGCGAGAAACAGTGCGTATGTGGCCCGATGTTATGCTTAGTTCGGTCTCAGAAGCGACACCGACAACAGAAATATAAATGTTTTATTCACCGATAATAAAAGAAAATAAGCAAGTTTAACAAGTCTAATATTATTTTCTAACAATATAATAAAGACCTATGTTTGCAAAATAATGTTCATATTTAATATGGTTTCTGAAAAGAATTTGTATAATTTTTTTGAAATTCCTTAAATAACCATTTTACACAGACATAAAATAGTTATTTGTTTTACAAGTGTTTAAAAGCGACTTTTTCATACGAGTGTTTAAGTTGCTCACAAGGCCGTCAGGCCGAGTGTGCATTAACACGAGCTTGAAGAAAGCTTTTCTTACAAGTAAAACATAATGTTTTTTCTACGACCCCTTTATTTTTTATTATATTCAAATACAAAACAAAATAACCTAAAAACGTGTTTGACAGCTGTTAAAATTACTTTGATTTATTCTTTTAATTTTTAAGGTATAAGTTACTTAAAATCAATAAACTTACCTTCTTAACCCTTAACTAATCGCGCAGGTGCACTGAGTGCTCCGTTTTTATTAAAACTATATAACTTTTTGTCGTTTTCTTGGAATTAAATGCCCTTTCCATGTAACCTATGACTGATGTGTCTACCATGCACTGTCAGTTTAAACTACTAATTTCAAAGTTATGGACAGAAAACTTGAGATTGATTTAGAAATACTTCACTAAAACGTAACTAAATTTCAATTTTTGCAATGTAAAATATTTCTAAATCAACAAAATGTGGAATTTTAAACCTAATGGTTTGTAAGGTATACATTTTTCTAAGAATACACAAATAAAAATAGAACGGCTAAATTTCATTCTGATTTCTTCTTTTCTGAGTAGAAGTAATAACTTTTTTGTTTGTTTTATTTTTTGTTATTTTCTTTTTGTTTCTTTTTAAAATAAATATTGTGTTTTAATAAAAATAGAGTTAATTCATCCGAATATAAGCAAAAGTAATATTAAAATTGAAAACATTCAGCAATATAGCTATTTTAAGGAGCGGAGCACTTATGTTACAAAAATTGGCGCGAGTAGTTAAGGGTTAATTTAAATAAAGGCACTAAAAATTAGAATTTATTATACAAACACAATTAATTGTGTTCTAAATGATATTTAAACATATACAAATACCTACAATACAAATTTTGAAACGAATGTCACGATGCTGTCAATTTCTTTTCATACAGACCTGTCTCTTTTCACACAGAAATGTCACATTACATTCGTGTTTTGCCTTGCCAATGAAATGATTCATTTTCTAAGCAACAATGCCAATACGAAATGTGACTTTACATAGTTGTCGTAGAAAAAATAATTTAAGAAAAAGGGGAGCGGAGGGGTAATTCTTTTTTGCAATAGCTGATGTAGTAACTCAATATTATACTAAACTACGACTATTGCCTTAATACGCCTTGGCATGCCACGGCGTTCTCTATATAGAGGTATAGAGGTATAGAGAACGCCGTGGTCTTGGTAATACTACTAAAACACTAATTTTGTTAAAAAAAAAAAGATAATTTTATTTTTTGTAATCATTTCAATAACCATTAATTGGCACGAAAGTTAAACTCCAACAAAAATTTGTTACTTTAAAATAACTTCCTAAATAACAAAACATGCATATAAAAGTGGTGTTAAAAGGAAAAAACAAATTTAAACCTAACAATACGGTTTAGACAGAAATTCAAAAAAATACGTTTAAAACTTTTACATATTTCACATAAAAAAATATAACTACATTTTCGATCTATAAGCAATTTCAATGAAAAAAACGGTGTATCTAACCTAAAATGTGGCCGAGTTTATTGTTTAATAATAATTACTTAATCATAGTACTAACTAAAACGAAACTCTTAAAAAAACAAAAAAATCCCTATTCTGAAAAGTTATTTAAGGTCTTTAATTAGTATTATAATTATAATTATAAATTCTGATAAAGTGCGCTAACTTTCGCGGTACAACTTAAAAAATATAGTGTTATTTACAATAGAAAAAACGAATGAGCTTAAAAATGTTGTTTCAAACATATAAAAAAACAGTTACCATTGAATTTAAAACAAAATTCTATACTAAGGACTAAACATTTAGTAATATTTTACATTTTTAAATTAAAAAAAGATTTTTTATTTTACTTAAAAAAAGTTCTTTGGTTTAGAAACAGGCACATAACGATTATAACTAGATGTCACACAATTGTATTTATATACAGTGTTGGCCATAATTTTTGGAACCACTGTAAAAAAATCTAACTCTAAAACGCCGTTATTATTCTTTATGAAATTTTGTATAAAAATACTTCAACTTATATCTCAGTTTACGTGTTCGAGGGTTTTTAGAGAAAATATTTTTAAAGCCCTTTTATTTAATAATGAAAAAACGTTCGAAAAATAACTTTTAGGGTAATTTTTTTTAAGTAAATATGCTGTATTTTTGTTAGTATACCCTGAACATTTTGTACAAATTAAACGAACAGTAATACAGCTCTTCAAAGTCGGTAAAAATGGCCCCTTTTTGATTATTTTGCTGAAAAGTGGTCGTTTTTGACGACTTTGAATCGTATACAATATCTTCGTTGATGTTCATTTGATTTGTACAAAATTTTCAGGGTATACTATCAAAAATAAGGTCTTGAACAGCATATTTTTTATTAACTTAAAAAAAATTTCCCCAAACGTTATTTTTGAAACGTTTTTTCATTATTAAATAAAAGGGCTTTATAAATATTTTCTCGAAAAACCCTCGAACACGTAAACTGAGATATAAATTGAAATATTTTTATCCAAAATTTCATAAAGAATAATAAAGGCGTTTTATAGTTAGATTTTTTTTACGGTGGTTGCAAAAATTATGGCCAACAATGTATATATATACGAGTATATATATACATATATATATATATAAAACACTACCACTATATATAAAAGTAGTTTTCATAGTTTGCATATGAAGAACTTCCATTCGAGTTTAAAAATGACAATGAAGAACTGTTCATTTTTTCTGAGCACAGGGCTGGCTGTGATTTAGGATTTCTATTTTCTGTTTCTTTAAAAGGTTCCGAAAACCAAAATGCCTAAAACAAAAATTGTTATTTATAAGATTAAAGGTACTATGAGTATTCTAGACCAACATCGATATCCTATGTTAAATCCCATAAAAAAATCCAAGGTTCATTCGCCGCGTCGATTGCCGACGTCCCACGTCACTTTTCTTTTTAAGTAATTTTTTCGAAGGCCCTGTAGTGGGGGGCTCCAAGAAGCCCTCTGCCTATAGCCCTTTAACCTACAAACACCTACCCTGCAGCCACATTGATAGCCCCCTTTTTCGATAAACCAGCCCCCGACAGACCGAAAATAATAACAAATAAAAACAAGATTTAAATGTCTCGCCTCGCAGTCGGATGTGTTATACTATGCCCTAAGGAGATAATTATAAAAAAATGCTAAGATATATTTAAGCGTGTTTGTTAGTATTTCTTAGCGCTGACGTCACACTGCTTTGTTTTAATAGGTCAATGTAGGGTATTATTTGTAGCTTAGAGATTAGGGTGATATCGTATTTAAATATTAATATAACTAAAAACACCAAGTAGTTATGAACAATATTAAACTGAAAACAAGAGATTAAACAATTTTAAAGGTATTTAAAACAAATAAAACCAAATTAATTGTAGTCAGTTATATCTGTCGAATTACACAATTAGTTTTTTTAATCTGTCATTACATTCCACCCTGTATTGAAAACTATGTTTACTAAACCCTACTTATGAGGTATCGTCGTAATCAGAAAAATGTACACTATTAATTTTGGATGATAAAAAACTAAAGTTTACGTGACCGAGCGTTTTTGATAAATCTTTTATCATTGAATATCGAATTTTATCCCATAAGCGAGAACCACACTGTATAATGGACTGTTCTAAAAATAGACCATTTACTTTTCAATGTATTTTATTCAATGTTTTTTAGGTTTAGCTATTAATTACAGGATAAATACATATTTTTTATTTATGATTTAAGGTTTTGTGTATAATATGTTAAACATTAAAAAAATATTTATGAGCCACCTGTCAAACGTAGATCTCTCTCACACAATTGTGTAATTCGTTCATAAAACTGACTACAATTAATTTATGTTAGTTTTATTAGAATTAAATAGCGGACATAAGACATTTGATATTTATATTGGGAAATCGTTTAACATTGGTTAATCACATGTTTTTAGTTCAATATTATTCATTACTACAGGGTGTTTTTAGTCATATTATTATTTATATAAAGTAATTTTCTAAGGTTATAAAGTAGAACTATACGCATTTATTTATATCACCCTAATCTCTAATCTACAAATGATAACCTACATTGACCTATTTAAACAATGCAGTGTGACGTCAGCGCTAAGAAATACCTACAAACACGGATAGACTATACCTTAGCATTTTCTTTTTTATCTATCACCTTAGAGTATCTTACAGCAAATCCGACTTCGAGGCGAGACTTTTACGGTTCAAATCTTATTTGTTATTTTTTTCGGTTGGTCGGCGGTTGGTTCATCGAACAAGAGGGGGGGTAGACGGGTTTAGGGTACGGAGCTATAGGGTAGCCCTTGGTGCCTCCCGCGCCAATACGCGTGACCTTGATATGGACAAAAATTGCATAATGGATTTTTCTATAAGATTTAACATAGGGAAACGGTCGATTTTTGTCTATAACACCCATAATTGAAAGGTCAAATTTGTTAAATTTTGATAAAGCTTCATGAGATTGAATATTTTTAAATAAAAGTAATAATCAAATAATTGGTAAAATAAAAATGTGTTACCTTTCGACGAGAAAGAAGGAGGCAATCTGGATTTCTCTTAACAATAAAATGATAATCATGAACTGAATTCCATGTTAGCTGTACTTGAAGTGGTCTGTCATCATGATGCAATTTTCTTTGTTGCATCTTCTTGATATTAACTTCATACAGTGAAAAATGATCATAACGTTCCTTACTATTGTAACAATTTAAAAGCAAACATATTAATTCATCTACAGTTGTTTTTGCACTAATTAATAAACTTTTGTATTGCGAGTTGGAGTTTAATACGGAATCAAAAACTTTTATCAAGCCTCCTCTTCGTGTTTGTAGAGAAAACCTAAAAAAAAATACTTTACTACGTGTTTGCATATTTATTTAATACAAAACTAAAATAATTACACCGAAATTATTCAAGCAATTAAGTAGCTATTTACATACCATGGGAGTAAAATAGTGCTTTTCCTCCCGTGAATAGTTTGATGCCCGACGCGAAGCGAAGGGCATTAAATATTCAAGGGAAGGAAAGCATTTTCCTCCTAAAGTATGTATATAGTTTTTTCTATTACCTTTTAACGGTTTTAAGACATTTTAAGCGTTCCGGTTCCTTTTCTAACCCGGTATGGGACTTTAAAATTATGACAAAATATTAAGTAGGTGTTGCGTCGCCGACGTTATGTTGACAACGCTTTGTTGCTATGGTATTTTTTTAATACAAACATAACAGTTGTTATAAGCTGTCAGAATGTTTATCATAAGTTTGAAATTCTTCCTACGTTTTGAAAATGAGTTCTAGCGAAGAAGACCTGCCGCAAGATCTTGCTGAAGAGGCAAGAATAGCAATTAATTTCCTTTCTTAAAAATTGAAAGAGCGATATGAAAATAAATATAGATTGTTCAAAGAATGATTGGACAAGCGCGGAGTAAATCTTTTTCCTACAAAATCAAATAGGGCTAGACAAGGTACAAAAACTCTTGCTAATGTAAAATTGTTAAAAAAAAGAGGAAGGAATTTTTTTTTTCCTCCCGGGGAGGAAAAGAGGCATTTTTCTCCCTCGCTCGGGGGTGGAAAATTAAGTTTTCCAGTAAGGTAGTAGAAAATAATATTTATTCAAGACCTATTTTATTTCTTAACTTTAAACGGTGGGCGAAATTTTAAAGGCTAAAATTGGAAAAAATTGAGGTTAAAAATGTACTAAAACTTATATACATGCTGAACAATAAAAATAAAGTCTGGCAGCACGCTGGGTTTGGCTACCTCGAATGTACAAAAAGGGACACTAACTGAAGTGTAAAGTCACTTCCCTTCCGAAGATGCCAATATCGTTGGCAAAAAGTACTTTATGCATTTTGTGTTTTGTGGATTAATACGAAGAAAATCAACTATAAAGCCAATTCATATTACACGAAAATAGTAATAAGAAAATGATAATAATATTTGAGTCGGTTGTATATGAGGGGCGACTTTAATGATCTATAATGAATTTTATTTTATTAATAAATGATGTTGCGTGTTTAATGCGTAAGAAAAGTGAGTTTTCCCGTGAAACTTTTCCACTTAATAAAAAACTGTTCTTCACTTATAGAACAATCTACTTACTTGGAATCCCCTTTTGGGTGACAACTTTGTAATGCTGCTGGCCTTGCTTCATCATCCAGAGGTAAATTTGTCTTAATTCCAGCTTTTCTTACTGTAACCTCCATACTAAGATAAAATAATTTTGGGTCTCTATGTTTCATTTTATATTTTCCAAGTAATGTTGAAACAATTTCCTTGCACGTGGATTTATTTGTAATACTGAGTGTTTTATATTCAATATCGGGTCGTAAACACCTTGCGTACACCTTTATGGTTATCTAAAATTAAGAAAAACCTATTTAAATATAATTAACCATCACAAACCTGCTTATAACTATAGTTTTAAGAGCATATATATCCACTACGATATTATTAATTAAGTAATATTCCATGTTTTTGTAAAAAGCTTGACAAATATTGTTTTAAATATTAATTGGAATAGGACGTTTATAAATGTTTGGGCCTAATAATACGTGTAAATTGCATAAGTATGAAGACCTTACGTAAACTAAACAACATGTTCTTTCAGAATACACAGATGTCCAAATTTCAAACTGCACTTAATTTAGAAGCAGTTTATCTGCCTTAAGTCTTCTTCTCATTGTCCAATAGCTGGTAATCATACCTCGGAACTTTCTTACCTTGTTATAATATTAATTAATAATAATAATTATACTTTATTTACGGTATTATACAATGTATACATATGTTTACAGATTTCATAGAAAATAATAAAATTAACACCTCAAACAACATTTAAAAAAATAAATATTACAAAAGTACAATATATCCAAATAAATTAGTTACAAAATAACATATAATAAATTGGTATTTATATATGTAGGCAGAGCTGCCAGAAAAAAGTATCTTAGTTACTTTAGAGTAACTTAGTTACTTTAAAGTATCTAAGTTACTGTATCTTAGTTCCTTTATTTTTTTTAACAAAAAGTATCTAGTATCTTAGATACTTTTTAAAAGGAACTGTATCTTGTAACTTAAAAAAAGTATCTTAGATACCGAAAAGTATCTTAGATACCAAAAAGTAACTTAGATACCAAAAAGTAACTTAGATACCAAAAAGTAACTTAGATACCAAAAAGTAACTTAGATACCAAAAAGTAACTTAGATACCAAAAAGTATCTAAGATACCACAAGAAAAGTTCCTTTAGTCAAGTTGTTCGAAACGGCCGTGGCCATCGAAGTTATTATAATAAGTATACGACTTCAGCGACTGGTGCCAATCGACTGGCGGCGATTTTTGTTATACCTACTTAATTTATAATCACCTATACTTCTTTTATAATCTGTGACTTCGCCACCCGCTCTGTAGAAGGGTGTTTCCGTTCGTTGCGAATTTATAGTGGTAAGTCTGAAAGTTAGGTTAGGTAAGTAATTCCACTTGCTTCTTTATTATGTACTGATGTAGGATATTGGTTGTTACATTGTACCGTACATTCTATAATGTTCAATGTATGTTTTCCATTTTAAATTTTAAAAAAATGTTAAAAAAGATTAAATGAGAGTGTCAGATAATTTTTTTATTTTTATAATTAAGTGGTGTTTAATTAACGATTTTATCTCTTTTTATTTTTAAGATATTTTAAAAGTGCCTAAGTTAGACACTTTTTGCATTAGACCCTTCAATGGTTTTAGTCAACTAGATTTTATTAAAAAAAATTGTTAAAAAAGTAAGCTTAAAATTATTTGAAAAATCAGGGTGGGGTTGGAACGAATTTTTGTTGGGCGGTTTATACGAAACTTATTACATAATATACAAAGTAACCAAAAAAGTATCTTAAAAAGTAACTTAAGATAAGTATTTAAGTTCCTTTTTTTAAAGAGTAACTAGATACCCAAAGTACTTCGGATACTTTTTCAAAAAGTAACTTATCTTGTATCTAGATACTTTTTAAAAGTATCTTTGACAGCTCTATATGTAAGTAAGTAAAAGGTTCCCATTCAAAAATTCATTAAAGGAATAAAAGGCTTTTTGTACCATAATATTTGAGTCCAAGATAATTTATTGTTTTTTGAGTTTTGGTCAGTCTGCAAACTTAAGATATCTCGACTTATATTTTACAGGAACATTCCTTGGGTATTTCTAAGATACAAAATTTGGTGTTAAAGTTTTATGTTTATTTTAGTTTTTTTTAAATTTCTTTTATTTTACAAGAAAGGCGAATGAAATACTTAATAGTTGTTACAATTTCTATAACACTGCCTTACAACTGTTAAATATAATCTACGGAGTGACGGTGTTTTCTGGACTATATACGTTACCCCTTCCTCCGAACGTTTTTTACGGCAATACAATTTTTTTTAATTAACTTCCCAGTCCTCTTTAAAACTTTTTGAAAAATTTTACTTTTTTTGTATGTGTAACCCATTCTCTATGGTGTCATGAGTTATTTACCAAAATATCCACACTCAGAGAAATATCAAGTTATGAAAAGCATATGAAATTATATTAATTTAAATAATCGGGTAAATTTGATTCAAATAGAAAAATTTGTAGTTTTATATTCATTTACCAACAGTTTTACAATTTTTTGAAACACTTTTAAAGTGTACCCTCTTTAAAATATATATACAAAAAGAAATCCATTTATTTCATTGACTTTCTCAAAGTTGTTTCAAAAAGATATGTAATATACAATTGTTATGCACCTATTAATTTAATGGGAAACACCAATGACGCCAAAACATATTTGAATCCCTTTGAATTATTATCGTTTTGAATGATTTTATAACATTTTTTCTCTCAGTGCATTTATGCATGTAACGACCGTCTGTTTTTTATAACTTACTAGTATTATATTTCAGGAAATTTGAAACTGTTTTTAGAGATATATGTTTTGATGACATTTAAAATTAAAACTTTATAAAATATAATATATACTAAAGGGGTTAGAGCAAAACGCGTATAAGTAACAACAGTTTTTTTATTAAACCGAGACTGGTTTCGAGCTCAGAAAATATTATTTTTTCAGAAATAGCATATTATATTTTTTTCACTTATGCCAATTTTGCTTTAACCCCTTTAATTTCCTTTAATCAACATTAAAACAAATCACATACTAATTTTCAAACAACAAACAACGAAACGCTAAACAAGAAATTAAATAAAAAATCAAAATAAATGTTGAAAATGCCCACCATCCAATCCTTCTTACTGGAGTAATTCTTACCTCTTCTTCATTTTGAATAGGTGTTTGGTAAACTAAGATCTTTAAATGTTTCCAAAGAAAATAATCTAAACAGTAAAGATCTGGTGACCATGGTTAAGGCCCTTCCCGACCTAACTTAACGATTATGAAAGGTTCGATCCAAAATTTCTAGCGCGTGGATGCTAAAATGTTCATCCCTACTAATTACTTCAAGAAAACGACAATATCTATCCATGTTTAATCTTCCCGAAAAAAAAAATGGTCCTATCAAATAATCTCCAAGAATTCCAGCCTACATGTTTTCATCCGACCATAAATAGCCGTTTAAAATACGGCGTATCTCGTTTTTTGTGCTAAGCAAAAATATTTTAACCTTAATTACTTAATATTGTAGTTAACACATTTTGCTTAGCAAAACGAGAAACGGCTTTACGTATTTTCAACAACAAAATGATTATAAAATGGTTATGAAAATTGCGTATAGAGTAATTATTTCTCAAATGGCACCAATGTTGAAAATAAAATTTTACTCTATTTTTAACATGATGCAATAAAAATTTAGGAACAAAAATATTTAAGGAATTATTACGGGTGGTCATTTTTTCAAGTTGTTTCTTTGTTTCTGCAAGGATTTATGAAAATTAAAATAACAAAACTACAAAAGCTTTAGTTAATATTTTCATTATTATTGTAAAAAACAATAAATACAGACCAGAAAAATATAGGATAAAACAGACAACAGTAAAACTCCAAAAAAGTATATTCTTTGATTATATTTATATTAAAAAATATTCACGGAAAACAAAAAATAAAAATGTGGATATTATGCCCAGTTTTATTATTCATACTTGTACAAAAAAATAACTAATTAAATGAATTGATATGTATTATAATTACCATATTTACAAAATTTTAAGTTATTATATTAAAGCATTTAATGCTTGTCAAAAAGATGGAACTCGTAAACCTTGCTGCCCTTGCCACCCTGTATATAATCTCTGTATGGGTAGTAAATGTCCAATAAATCAATTAAACTATACAAGTAGCAAAATATCTTTATGATTATTATTAAAACTTATAAAATTAGATTAAAACTGTTTTTATGATCAAATATGATCGAGAGTTGATTAAATAAGATTGACCCTAAATATGTATTTAATTAAAGCCTGATAATTGAACCTTAATGAAATATAATTGAAACTCGATCATGTTTTTATGATTAATTGAACCATACAAAATATGATCGAACCTCAATCATGTTTTCATGATAAACCTTATCCACTTGGAAATCTGAATATGATCGAATAAAATGGAATCGGTGAGAATAAGAACAGTACAAGTCCAAAAATTTTAGTTTGACAAGTCATTTTTTAAAATCAATTTTAAAGTTCAAAATACATTTTTGTGAGAATATTTTAATTATTTTATAAAATATAATATTAATATTCTTTAAAATGATTTATATCTTCTATCATGTTTTCATGATCCACTTGGATATCTGATAGAATTATGATAAAAAAGATTGAGTTTCGATCAGTTTCTTTCAGCAGATGATGGCAGAAAATTGCGGTGGTGCACTAACCGTTTAAAACAAAATAAATCGCGGATGTATCGAAATGGGCAAACGCAGATGTAAGCAGATGAAATAGACAAACGAAATGCAGGCAAAAGTGTATAAAACCTGACCAATGCAGACATGAACTAAAGGTTGTAGAGCCGGTTGAAAGCAGATAATAGCAGATAATTGTGGTGTTGCACTAACTGTATAAAAAACAAAACAAACCGGGTGTTTGCGAATTCAGAAAAATGGGCAAACGCAGATATAAGCAAATGAAATAGACTAACGTACTGCAGGTAGACGCGTATAAAACCGGACCAATGCATACTTATATTGACTAAACGTTGTAGAGCCAGTCGTAAGCAGATGATTGCAGATAATTGCGGGGGTGCACTAACCGTATAAAAAGCAAAACAAACCTGGTATTCGGTATGTAGCAAAGAGGTCAAACTCATATCTACACAGTAAAAAAATACTTTAGTGTTCTTCCAGCCCTGTTAAAAATCACCCATAAAGACCAATAGAAAAGCTATTGGGATTTTCCAGCGGCAGCTCTATTGGTTTGAATTGGTCTCAATAGTGGTATCTGTACCATGAATTACCAATTCAAACCAATAGCGACACCGCTGGAAAATCCCAATACAGACCGATAGAGACTAATCGTATTTTATTGGTAATTCCCAATAGATATATTATAGATATATTTTATTGGTAATTCCCAATAGAGCTATTTGGATTTTCCAGAGGTATCGCTATTGGTTTGAATTGGTCCCCACTATCCATTTTAGACGTCTTTAAGGTAAAAAATTACGTGTTTTGATGGTTAAATAATTTCTCAAAAATAGTGCTGTTTAACATTTAATTTAAATTTTATAAATAGCTTCTGCTAAAAGTAAGTTAGTGGGGCCCACTGCTTACTTTTCGCAGAGTGGGCCACTGGACGACCTGTGCCCCTTTAAAAATTCCAAAACGCCAAGCGTTTCCATGGCCAGTAATTTTGCCTTAGTAAGGAATCCTTACTTAGCAGCTCAAGGCATTCCACCTTTATAGGCCTATGTATTGTGCTACAGAGGCGAGAGGTATGCATGGGTTGTCTACCTATTGGCGAATTTTAAAAATAAATATTAAAGTGGTATATACCAATAGGGTTCCTTGTACCTACACACCGATAAAATACCAATTCAGACCATTAGTTTATCTATTGGTATTTTCCAGTAAGAAAATTGCCAATAGAAACAAGTGGTCATTTGTATTAAATTGCGCAGGCGCTGAACATTTAAGTGGTATTTACCAATTGAATTTCAATTGGGAATTTCCTGTACTTGTAACTTCTTATAAAAACCAATTCAGACCATTAGGTAATCTATTGGTATTTTCCAGTACGGAAATTACCAATAGAAACCAATGCTTATTCTGTTGAGAAACCAATAGGCCCAATAAAGACCAATTCATTCCATTTTGATTTTTTATTGGTTTCTATTGGTCTCTATGGGTGATTTTTAACAGGGAGGTGAAAGTTGTAGAGTAAAGAAGTTGTGTAAAACATCATACTATTTTCAATCCAAAAATATATTTTTTCGTCCAAGTGCGATGGAATGATAGTAGTGTTCCACATCAATCTAACTTTACACTTAAATATTCATTTAACACTAGCCAAGCTCTGGCAGTGCACATTAGTGTAAATATGCAATCAGGGGGTGTTCTGTTGACAAAAACGCAAACTTGTTTCGTTCATTTTTCTCTCAGAATTTGTTTTGAAAGAATGCACCAAGCTGTTTAGTTGTGGTTTATAATTATTAACTAAAGGTAAGTCAATTTCAAAGTATTATTACTCATCATGGTTTATAATGTCCAAAATTGCATTTTGTTTTGGTTCATAAGGTCGAAAATCGCGTTTTGTTTATTGTACAGACAAATCTCAAGTACCAACAGTTTTTACAATAGCTCAGTTTAATGTATATAATAAGTAAATCTTTTTTTTTTAATTATTTTGTAACGTAAATCTCACAATGGATTGTATTTACGTATTTATATAAAGTAATTGGAAAATATTGTAGTTTAATTTTTTGTAACGTAAAACTTACAATGGACTGTATTTTTATTTATCCCTTAAGCAGGCACGCGGGGTGTACAAAACACCCCCGCTTTCTAAATATAGCTACCGGTCTCAATTCGTTTCGAATAAATGGCGCTTACTTTCAGTACCTTCATGTCAAAGTATTGTCAGTCATATTATATTGCCGATTTCGAAGTTAATGTAATAGGTTGTCTGATATTTTGTTTCAAACAGGCTCTGGGTGCTGTGGTCACCCCGTGCGCCTTTCCACGTACAATTATTTTGCATTAATTTGTTAGGCTGATTTTTTCAATTTTTGTGATTACTTCACATTAAATAAGGTTATACCCTGTAAAAAAGTAATTGGAACGCACGACAAAATATTTATTTTTATCTTGAAAGCATTGCATTATGTTTTGCTTGTTTCTGTTCGTTCTAATATTTTATGTAAACAACAAATAAAAATTTGCCAAAATTTCTCCGCCCAATAATTTTCAAATTATCAGTTGCCGGTAAAGAAGAGCAGATGTGTAATTTGTCCAATGCCTTTTTGCAAAAAGTGCATGAAGCACAGGAAAAATGTTTGTAAAGAAAGCTTTGATTCCATAGTAAATTCTAGTATCGAAATTGAGTGACTTTGAGCAGGCGAAATCATAATTACTTGTAAAAGTAAACCTTATCTTATGTGCTTAGTGGTTTTTTGGTTTTTATTATTATTATGACTTTTAAAATTTGTGTTTTTTAAATAAATGCTTTATTTTATTAAAATTGTCGTCTTTTCACATTTTTTTTGTCATCTTTTATCAAATTTGAAGGCAACGAAATATGTTCTCATTGTCTCTAAGCTCATCTTATCTTGATAACTTTGAAAAACGAAAAAAATGTAAATAACACTCAGGGACGCTTTGCCATCAGGGGTGTCTCTGACACCCCGCGCGACCTACTACGTTGCATAAAGAGGTGCGCCTGCATAAATTTTATTTGTTGTATATAAACATTAACACCCGAGCAGCGCTACCCAAAAGTAATTCATATACCTAATTAAAAATAAATGAACATATAAAAAATAATAGGAGCAGAATCATTGAAAACCTATTTTTTTTCAAGCGTACCATAATTTTTATATTATAACACTTCAAAGTCTATATAAAAAGACTTAATATTAATACTAGTTCAAAAGTCAAATTATTATTAAACTTCCTACTGAAATAAAGCTAAAATGTCATCGTCAGTTGAACCTTACCTAAAAAATGATGTAACAGAATTAAAAAAAAAAAATTAATGCTTGAAAAAAAAATAGTATATAAAACACGACAGCGAAAGCTTAATAATTGCCTCGCACACAATCTACTGCCTCAGCTAACGCCTCGGCAGTGAAATGTATGCTCAGCGATAATAAGTGCTTTCTCCGCTTGGTCTTTAAAGCACTAATATATTAATATATTATATTATATATTATACCATTTTTATTTATATCGATATTAAATGAATTTTATGTATGTAACTTTAAGGTCGCATTGCAGATACCAATCTTACACAATATTGGTGAACAATTATTAAATCTATAAGTGGATAAACACTAGATAGATTAAATTTCCAGCACTATTAGGAATAGCATTCACACTAAAAGTGAAATAAATGCAAATAAATTAGTGTCAAAGTGAACACGGTTAGTGTAGTAATTTTCAATCAAATTGTGTATGAAGTCGCACGAACTGTGTTACACTACAAGAGTACAATCTAGAGTTTAAACAACACTAAAATTCACACTAAATTTAAGGTGAAAATTTTAACTCTAATAAAGTGGACCTGCTCACCCTTGCGGCCTTGAGTTTACGGTTTATTCACCGTGAATTCACCGTGAATTCACTGTGAATTCACCGTGAATAAACCGTCTGTTTGTGACATTTGTAAACGGTAGTTAGACGGTGAATTCACGCACTTTTCAAAGTATTTTAATTGTGAATCCACCGTATTTTAGCGGTATATTCACGGTGAATTCACAGTGAATTCACGGTGAATAAACCAATAATAATAACACAATCGACTATAGCTAGCCATTATTCGTTACTGAGCAGATGAGGATGGAGACTTCAAACAATTAATGTTCAGCTATGCCATTACAGACGCACACTTCCAACTAAATATTGCAACCCAACGCTATTTATAGTTAGCTCGCTTGCGTAAGCAGCCGTGAGATGTATTGCTTAAACCGCTTAACACAGAAATCGACTAATAAAAAAAACCGCTAATAAATGGCGTCCAACTTGTTGTTTTTTTATGATGGCGTCTCAACCTCGTTGATTTTGCGCACCTACACGAGAGCTCTCTTGCGATATTTGTATTGTATTGGGAATAACCAATTAGCAGATTGTTCTTACACTTACAATTTGCGGTGTTTTCACAGTAAACTCACAGCGCTTTTACGGTGAATTCACGGTGATTTCACGATAAATTTACGGTACTTTCACAGTGAATTTGCGGTGATTTTGCAAACTTGAGTTCACCGTGAATTTACCGTGAAATCACCGTGAATTAACCGTGAATTTATCGCAAAAACAGCGTGAGTTCACCGTTTAATTACCGTCTACAAATGTCACAAATGGACGGTATATTCACTGCACATAAACAGTGTATTCACGGTGAATTCACGCAAACGGTGAATTCACCGTAAACTCAAGGCCGCAAGGGCAAGCTATAGTTCTCTAGTGAAGCCTAGTGTGAAGCTTTTTTTTACTGTGTACGCAGATGTAATTTTCATCTGCTTTGGTTCATAATTTACATCCGCAAACATCCGTTATTTGCAGCAGGGCACACTTGTTTTTGTTATGTAAATGTTACGCAATCTCAGCGGCGCGCCGCGGCGGTTTAATATTAATTTATTAATATACCACCGGCGGTTTAGAACTCTTCCTTAATTTTAATTACTTCAAAAATAAGAAATGCAATCTCTTTGACTGGCAAAGTCATACTTTAGATTGTTATTTTTAATGGAGAAAACCACTGAACAATTTAAATTTAAATTTTATTAATAATATTAAGTGATAGTGTATAACATTTATTTGGTGGCTTTGTTATAACTATTATCTTACTTTTACAACCATTTAAATACAGGCTGTCATGTTAATAAGTTGTCATCCCTTGGGGGATAATAGTTTACGATCGAAGCCAGTTCGTCCGCTAGTTCGTTGGCTAGTTCGTCGACCCAACCGCTTACACGTTGGATAGATCATGGTTTAAACGAATCCATTTTTTGGCAAACATTTGCCGAAAAAATTACGTTAATTTTTAGTAGGTTCTTTTATTTATTTAAAAACAGTAGCACTAATGGGACACTAGGGATGAAAACATATTACATGACACACTGCATACATAACATTTAGGATGTAATTACCTGAAAATGTGTGGATCCAGTATCAACCAGGGAAGAATAGCTGGATGAGCGACTTTCTAGGGGTTCAGGACTAAGACTTCCATACGAAGTAACTGAACTGAGCGAAACTGTGTCGGCTCTACTTCGAAAAGGTGAAATTTGTACATGTTTCATCATCTAAAATAAAGTTATAATACAGTTAAAAAGGACATAAAATGGAATTATTATTGTATAAGTTTTTATTCTATATTAGGAGATATAAACGTTTTAAGGTTTCCGCGGATATATTTACATATTGTTGGCGCCAAATATTGCGGTTATTGTGGTTACATCCCTGATAGCAAAATATTCTTAGAACCTTTCCTTATTGCTAAGAATGTTCTTAGGGACTTATAAAACATTCAAAAGATACCCTTTTAATGATGCAATTAGATTCTTAAAAGCTTCTTAAAACCTTCCTAAAAAGCATCCTAAGAACATTTTAAGAATACGTTTTTGGAATGTTCTTAGAAGGTTTCTTAAGGAGCTTCTAGGAAGCTTTTGAGAATATTTCCAAATATGTCAGATACCCACGTTCTAATGTTGTATTCTACATTCGTAAAATTCTTCAGGAGACAAATACGCCTCACTGTCATAATATGACAGTGAAATGTATTTGTCGTTCCCTTAAATTTTGCGACATATTAATATATATTCATTTAAAAATATTAAATAAACAATTTTAACTCTAAACCATAAGTTTTATGACATTATTTCATAAAAAGTAAAATTGGAAAATTTTGTAGGATAAGTCAGATTAGATTGAAGTTGAAGATAGTTAGGATTATTATACATAAAAATGTTAATTCAGAAATAAAAAATCGGTATACAAATTAATAAATATTTATTAATATATACAATACCTATAGTAAAATATTTTGGATTGTGTTTTTTACTTAGTATTTAATACTAATTACTAATTAGGTCCTTAAGTATAGGTATATACCTTTATACGTAGTTTATGGTATATTTTACTATTATATAGGTAACTGAACTAAATATGCTTAACAGGAATATTCCTAAATGAACTTTCTATAGCAATTACTTTCTTAACATTCTAAGCATATGTTTAGAGTAGACTAATTTTTACCACTAAAACTTTGCACCTTCTAAGAACCTGCCTATAGGCCAGTAAGAATATTCTTAGGATCATGCTATATGTCTTTGTCATGATGAATATTCTCACTGGAAGGTTTAAAAAACATTCTTAGAATAAAGTGTGCTTTCAGGTTATATAACCTTTATTTGTGTCATTGTTAGTTGAGAGTCTCAACTTAAGACAATCGATAATATCTTTAATACTTATATATTAAAAATAGTTATCCATGATAACTATAATAAAAATAAAATAACATAATAATAATAATAATAATAAAAAATACATAAAATAAAAAGAATCATAATCATAAAATTTATATATTTTAATATACATTATAAAATAATAAATAAAATAACCAATATAAAACATATATAAACAACATACAGATAATACAAAAGGAAATTATACAAGAAGAAACATAATAAAATAAGAAATTATAAGAAGAAAGATCCCGGACAACATTCGTGATATTCATACGAACATCATGTATTGATTTTCACAAATTTTATTCATACTGATATCATACGGAAGTCACCGCGTGATAATGAAAATCATAAGAACGTCACGTCGTGATTTTCACAAATTTTATTCATACGGACATCATCCGGATGTCACTGCGTAAGAAATGAAAATCATGTCGTGAGTTTTATGCCATCGCTGATTGCGATTGACCGATGGCCTAAAAAATCCTGTCGTGATTTTTTATGCCAACGGTGTTTGGATAATCATTTTTGCGGCACGTTCGTACCTACACTAAGAGAAAAATTATGTTGAATGAACAGTTTTTGCGGTTAAATACATTTAATATTTTCTTGGATTTAAATTAACTATAGTTAATTATTATTATATATATAGTTTATATATAATTCAGAATATATTCCTAGTTTTGAGAAATGGTTTTGTAAATTTATATAGCCAAATTAAGGAAGTGAGAAATACTGTGTTGAAGGGTCGCAGGGTTTTGCCAGAAACCCAAAATTCTCCAGAAAAAGAGCCCTGTTTTAACATTAAATTACCCCCAATTGAATTACCTAAATTTAATGGGAATCCTGAAAATTGGCCTGATTTTTGAGGCATTTAAATCTAATATTCATCTAAATTCAAATTTAAATGATTCGCAAAAAGTTCAATATCTTGTGGGAAAGTTAAGTGGCAGGTCACTTACTGTTTTATCAGGAATTCTTCCTAATGAGGAAAATTATTTAACAATTTGGAATTCGTTGGTAAAAAAATATCAAGATAAACGTGCATTGGGTATACCCAAAATGTATACATTTTATTTAAATAATATAATTGATAAAGTTGCATCTAATAATTCCAATCAATTAAATAATTTTATAGAACGTTTTTCTTCCTCTTATAGCGCTTTTAAACAATTAAATATAACTGACCTCTCGGATTTCATATTTCTTCATATGGCATTAAAAAAGCTATATCCTCAAATTATACAATCATTTGAAAATTAAATTAATACACATTAATTTGCTTTAACAGATGTTAAACCTTTAAATTGTAATAAATTGAATCATTCAAAACTATATGAATGTCAGGTATTTAAAAATATGACACCTAAAGTCCGATTTTAAAAACTTAAAGAAATAAGACATTGTATTAATTGTCTTTATCCAAACCACACTAGTAGTAAATGCAAGTTATTGTTGTAAAAAATGCAACAAACGTCAATACTCTATTGCATTTTGAACCAAATAAAATTAATTCTCAAAATGATATAACTTCTCCTAATGTTTATTCCTCTGTTAAACCTTTAACTCAATCTATAACTATGCATACTCAAGCTTCTTTAAAATTGATTACTACTGTATTATTATCAACAGCACAGGTATTTTCTAATAATGAAAATAAAAAAATAATACGATGTCTTATTGATAGTGCATCGCAAAATAATTTAATTAGTACTTCGTGCTGCAAAAAACTTTAAATATTATTCCTTTAAATAATTTATACATAAATACAGTAGGTCCAATTAAAACCCCAATGAAAGGTAAGGTTACTTTAACGATTCAATCACGGTTATCATTTGATAAATATGACATTACTCTAATAGTAGTAGATATTATAACTAAAAAACAACCTATAACTAATATAAATAAACAAGCATTCAATTATTTAAAAAATATACCATTAGCAGATGAATCTTGGAATGTTCCTGGGGAAATTGAGGTTATTTTAGGGGCACAATTAGTTTCCAATATATTCCCGGATAACAATCAGGCTTTCCTGGAGAAGTCATGATGATATCACAACGTGATTTTTTTTTATCACGCTGTGATATCCTAAGTGCATACACATGCTTCATCACAGTGATATCATGTAGAACTCACGGTGTGATATTTGCAATATTGCATATGAGCCCTGCGAACTGCGAATTTAAAACCTAGTTTGTTATTCACATTACACCGTTATAATTTATAAAACGTTCAATTAAAAAAGATATTCCATTCCACGCGTAACGGATGGGATAGTTGCAAGTTTTTATTTACAAAATAATATTGTTCTATTATATTACTAATGTCAAATTCTTGTAAATAGTTCTAAACGAAAGTTGTTTAACAATGTTTTTATTTGGCAAAATTAGGTATCGTGGTTGTCTGTTTAATTCCTTAAAAATTAATTTTTTTTATTCAAAAACGGTACTAGTAGTCTAAACTATATATAGTTCATTTAAATCCAAGAAAATAAGGAATGTATTTAACCACAAAAACTGTTGGTTCAATATAAATGTAGGTATACTTTTTCTCTCAATGTACGAATGTGGCGCGTTTTTGCGGTTGGATGTTTGGTCGGTGTTTGGATATTCAATTTTGCGACACATTCGTACATTGAAATAAAAAGTATGTTAACAATTGAATCAACAGTTTAAAATTTAATATTTTCTTGGATTTAAATTAACTATATATAGTTAATTTAAATCCAAGAAAATATTAAATGTATTGAACCGCAAAAACTGTTGATTTAACATAATTTTTCTCTTAGTGTACGAACGTGGCGCAAAAATGATTATCCAAACACCGTTGGCATAAAAAATCACGACATGATTTTTTATGCCATCGGTCAATCGCAAACAGCGATGGCATAAAAAATCACGACATGATTTTCATTTCTCACGCAGTGACATCCGGATGATGTCCGTATGAATAAAATTTGTGAAAATCACGACATAATGTTCGTATAAATATCACGAATGTTGTCCGGGTTATTAACAGATCCTCCTCAATTTGTTATTAACAGATTCCTGAGGAATTATTCCTCCTAATTTGATTGCACCTCAAGCACTTGAAACTACATTGGGCTATATTTTAATTGATGAAGTAGGTACCTGTTGATACAATTTTAAATAATTCATTTTCACATTTTAATTTAAGTTGCACTTTTGGGCCAATCACAAATGAAAATTTAAATACTAAATTAACAAAATTTTGGAATATAGAAGAAATCCCTTCAGATTATATTCAAAACTCTGATGACGTATTTTGTGAAAATCTTTATAAATCATCTTACTCTAGAGATTCTTCTGGAAGATATATTGTGGAATTACCATTTTAACAAGATTCTTCTTTATTAGGTAAACGAAACAGTCATGTTAAAAAGAATTAAATATTAAAAAAATAGATTGGAAAATTATTCCTCCATCTGCTCCTCATTTTGGAGGTATTTGGGATAGTGTGGCGCGCTGTTTGCTGTAAACTTCACTTCGGATATGTTTTTATAAATAAAATAAGTACTTTATGTATACCAAATTTGGGATTTGCAATATTGAAACCCCACATAAGTAAAGTTTAACCAATGTTAATAATTATTTATCATAATAATTATAATTAATGAATTATTGATCTGATGGTTCAAATTATCCAAAATTCTGGAGAACCTTTGTTTATGTCATTTTTTCGATTTGTCAACTAGGTATTTCAATGGCAAATTGGTCAATTATAATAATTAAGTCAGATATTGTACATATAATATATATAATATATTATATACATACATACCTATTCGTGAAAATAATTAAATATAGGTATGGGGCGT